GAAATGCAAAGTTAACATATAAAGAAAACATCAATTCTGTTGAGAACGGTAATAATTAAAGCTGTAGAGACACTAGGTATTTTTGGAAGCAGGAAAAATGAGAAATGAGTAACGCCTTCGCCGGGAATCGAACCGCGGACTCCTGGAATACGCCCCCAGCGTGCAGACCACCACACCACGGAGATTTGAATTTATTTAAGAAGGCGGGAGAAGTAACTTATAAAGAACTTGAAGACAAAAGAATATAGCTGGCTAAAAGTTCATATAAAGATCTTTCACATGAGCTAATTATAAAAATCGTTGAAATGCTTTTGCTTTACCTTCACGATATAAATATTGTATTTAAAATGACATGACAAATATATAAAATAGTTAATGGCACCTGCGTATTAGAAATGTTTAGTTTGAAATAAAATTTTTAGTTTAGGTTAAATAAAAGCAATTAGAATTTGGCTCGTTTATGCTTTTTTTTTTTTTTTTTTTGCCGGTATTCTTTTATTTAAGGAAATATCAGATCTACACGCAACCTAAACAAAAACACAATTAATAAGAAGAAGTCTTATAATAGTTGGTGACTTGATTATGTAATCAACATGCTGGACGATGCTGCTGAAACAGGAAAAGTGGTAAAGGAAAGTTCAGGAAAAGAAGCCGAAGTAATTCTCGTAAGAGATATGATTCCTCAGACAAGTTGTGTTTTTATTATTTTCGTTACAATAAAAAGTGTTTTCCTGAGAAATAGATCACACCTTGCAGTTGGATTGGTTCGGAAACTGGTCCCAGCAGTAAATGTAGCGGTACGTTCTGCTGCAGAACAATCCAATTCCGAAAATTCCATCTATTTGTAAAAGGCGAAAAAAGAGTTGCCAATTCTTCGTTGATAGTGGTGCTGATGTATCAGTTGTGCCCCCATCTAAAACTGATTCTAAAGGTTGTGACTACAAATTATATGCAGCATATGGTACTGAGATACTCACATATGGTATAAAATGCTTTTATTAGATCTAGGTCTTCGCCGCCTATTTCAGTGGTTATTTGTTGTGGCTAAAGTTTCTAAAGGCATACTTGGAGTTGATTTTTTAAATAAATTTCCGTTGTTGATTGACATACACAATAAAATATTAATTGATAATGTAACCAAATTGGGAAAGTTACAGTTGCTCAAAATGATAATTTAAATGCTGTCAATAGGTCATTAAAATATTTTGAATTGTTATGCAAGTATCCCGTTTCAGTAAAACATATTTTGTTTATATTAAACATATTTGTTCTAAAACAGAAGATTAAGCATTATATAACTACTCCAGGCCAAGAGCTAGACAGCTAGATCCTGAAAAGCTCAAGCTAGCAAAATAACAATTTAACTTCATGCTAGATAATAACATTATTCAGCCATTCAAATTTCAGTGCGCTAGCACCCTCCATTTGGTTAGTACTAAAGGTGGTATACTGATGCCTTGTGGAGACTACAGACGTCTCAATGCAATGACCATATCTGATAGGTATCCCATCCCCACAATTGAAGATTACTATTATAGTTTAAAATATGAAACCATATTTTCTGCAGCTGAACTAGTGAAGGCATATTACCAGATACTTGTTGCCGAAGAAGATAAACCAAAGATTACTATAACAACACCTTTCAGTCTGTGCGAATTTCACGTGCTGAGTTTGGACTCCGTAATGGTCCGTCACCTTTTCAACGCTTCATTACAGATGTGTTACGTGGATTAAATGCTTCGGTCCCGTACCTTTATGACATCTTAATTGCTTCTTCATTAGAAGAAGACCATAAGTTGCACCTAAAATTAGTTTTCGATCGATTATAACGGATTAGACTTCGTATTAATATAGCCAAGTCGGAAATGGGAGTTGCTCAGTTAGAAAATTTGAGTTACCTCATAATCACAGAAGGTTCCCGTTCACTGCCAGAAAACTTTGAAGAAGTACTCAATTATAAATTATCCACAACGATACATGAGCTTCGTACATTTCTGGACATGATACATTTTTGTCGTTTCTATTTAAAAGAAGTTGCTATGCAGAAGTTCAAGCAGTCCTACACGAAATGTTGAAGGGTGATAAAAAAACGATTGTCGTATAGTTCTATGGACAGACGAAGGAATTCGCCAATTTGAGAAGTGCAATTCCGATTTAGCTAATACTGCCCTTTTGTGTTTCCTAAAACCTAGATTACAATTATCTTTGCGGAACATGGAATCGGGATGACTCTCTAAAACTTTTGTGAATCGGGATGAATCATTTAACATGGAATCAGGGTTGTTCGACTCAAACTTCACTGAATCGTTATGATTTATTTCACATGGAATCAAGATGATTCCCTAAAATTTCGTTGAATCGAGATGATTTATTTAGCATGGAATCGGGATGATTTCCTGAAACATCACTGAATCGGGATGATTCATTTAACATAGAATCAGTATGATTCTTGAAAAGTTCATTTAATGGGGTTGGATCTCCCCCTGGTTTGAAGCGACTCTCGAATTCTAAACGTAAGCTTTCTCCCTTCCAAATCACAATATCAGATTCACCCTACTGTAAAAGGAACTTTGATTCACCCTACTGTAAAAGTAAAATTTTGAGATCGCAGAATTGTTCGAAGGCAACTTGACTGCGCATGTGGAATTACTATTTTGTTTATCTTCATTACTTTTGCTAGGCGACTACACTTAATGCAACACATTTTTGAGCCATTTATTTTCCTTTTCTAAATTTGAATTTTGTTTCTTAATTTCTCCTAATTCTATGAGAATATTAAAAAGTTCACTAGAATAATCATATGTTATAGAAAAAGAGCCTATCAGTTTTTAAACAGTTTCCTCCACTTCATGTTCAAGGTCTTATTTTTTTTCTTCCAAGCCTCGGATGCGTTGCTCCATTTCTTCGCAGGTTTTTCAAATAGTGTTTTAGGTTTCTTTTCTAACCAATGATAACTGAGACTAGTAAGATTGAATTTAGGATCTGGAGAATTTCCATATTTATTCTTTGGTTCATCCGTTCCAGTAGCTTTGAGTTTTAATGACATATTTTCAATCATTTCCTTCTGTTGATTCATTTCTTTTTGATTCTCAAATATTATTTATTTTTTTTTACAAAATGAAACATAATTTCACTCAATGTTAAACTATCATAACCAATTTAATTTTGTATAAAATACAATTCCTACTTACTGCATGATTGCTTTCCAATAAACGCAAGGACATTGGATTAATCCTTCACTGCCAGGGTGGTTGTTAATTTTTGAGGCTTCGGGCCCACTTTTGGGTTGCCAGTTTATAACTTTTGCTATGTTTATAACTTTTGCTTACGGAAAGAAGTGAAGAGGGATTACTTAATGCTTTAGTTCCCCTTATAGTGTAACCAAATAAGTTTTTAGAGGCAACAAGATCCTTTAGTAATCTTTTAACCCTTCCAGTGACTATTTTTAAATAAAAATCTTTATTAATTAAGACGATTTTTGAAAGCTATGACTTCCTATGTCTGCAGTATTAGTAAGTCTTATCGAATTTTCCTTACAATAATTAAGCATTTTCTTTCCTGGCACAGCAATAACAGCTAAGTTAATTTTTGGAGTTTCAAGAGATTCAATTATTATTTTCCCAAATCTACCTATATCTTTATGAATAAGAGCCACAGACGTAAATCTTTTTCTATAAGTTCCTTCTTCCCTATAACATTTAATTTCAGTTACAATTGTTTTGATACTTCTGCCAGGAGAAATGATTTATCAGAAGCAGAATCGGATATGAGTCTTACATTTTTTCTCTCATTCTGACCTAAAAGCCAGTGCATTTTCAGATTGCAAATAAACCTCATTTTTGTTATCGTTTTCGAAAATCTTCACCACCACTGTGTTTTAAACTCACTTTTATTTTCTCGTTTATATCCAAATTTATTATCGTGTAAAATAGTATTGTGCCTTAACATAAATCACAGCGTATGTCAGAACTGCAACGGGGTGACGTATGAGTCTTACAAAAACATAAATAGCACCTGCCAGTCATTTTTAATTTCTTTCTTTTCTTCTCAATTGAAAATGCGCAGTTTGAAATGGAATGTTTCAAAGATTCATTTTCTATTTCCCCACAAAATATATAATCGGCTCTTGAAGTATTTATATTCAGCGACGAAACTGTTGAAACACAATGTTTATTTTTGAAGGCAGTAGGATTTTTCTCACTTTAATAAGGCCTTGAGATTGATATTTATGTTGTTCGGTTCTGATGTTAAACTCAAAATAATTTGGTGATGTTTGGAAAAATGTACCCTCTCCTGCTTTCAATTTCACTCTTCAGAAATTCTAAAATGTTAGTCACTGTGGTTTCCGTGCCAGGGGCTATCGATTGAACTCTAGAGCTGATTGGCTGAGAAGTATTCTCATTATCAGTGGTCTTAACAAATAGCTGTAAGAATTCGAAATAATGTTAAGGAAGTCAAAGCTTCTAATTTCAATTTCTAAAATGTCGTATAAGTTACGTAATGTTTTGATATCTTTTATTTTTTTACAGACTTAATTCAGAAGACGATACATATGTGCATTTATGAAAACTTTTCTTTTTACCAAAACTTTCTTTCAGAATATTTATCGCCTTGTCGCAATTCTCGGTGACTAGTAGTAACCTCTTTATTGATATTAAAGCTGCGTCCATTAGTAAAGATTTGAGGTAATTTAATTTATATACGTCTAATTAAAGCAGAGTTATTATGTAGAGCAGATTCGTGTTGATCCCAAAAGCTTTGAATTTCACATATGTCGCCTTTAAATTTATTTATGGTTAATTTAGGAAGTTTAGTATCATTTGTATTTTCAACTTTCTACTCTAGTAGAAGAATTATATTTCAAAATTTATACGTGATTATTGCTTTTTTTATTTTTAAAATATGAATTCATGTATTAAGATATTTCTAATAAAGAGCAAACTTTAAACTACTAGAAGCTTCATTTCTATCAAATCAGACACTTTTATCAGTAAGATATCTTCATTTAGTTTCGATTGAGCATTAAATGTGTGCTATGAATGCAAACAATACTTTGTCACATGTGATAGTTATCAATGCTTTAGAGACAGCTTACTGCTTAAAAATAGACAACAATCGATAAAATAATCGGATTCGAAGTAAGACTGCATAGGTAAGACAAATTCTGTAAATAAGAATTAATTGCTAATTATTAAAAGTTTTCTATTCTTGTTAAAGTATAACATTATTTTGCAATGATGAATTTATGAGTTACAAGTCTCTATCATAACATTTATACTGTTTAAGTAATAAATTTAATATTATACTACCGTTTTTATATATACATTTATTATTTTATTAGAATTTACACCTTTTGTACTGTTTAGAATATCGAACTAAACTGTTAATTCTTTAGTACCATTGCTGAATGTGCACTATTATCCTCAACTAATAGTGCTGAGATCTATTGTCCTTAATCTATTCATTACGAATGTATGCACGTGCCAAGTTCGTTTTCAAATCTTTGAACAACAAATTTTAAGCACTTTCCTTTATCAAGAATGGATCTTTCATTTTCAGTTACATTGAATTTCAATTGTATTCCATTTTAAAAACTTATACAAAAATGCAAAATTGATATAAAAATATTAAAACAATTTTTTTCATCTTAATATAAAAATAATATGATGTATGTCAAAGTCTTATAACTATAAAATTTCTATACTGTAGGTTTATAGGAATAGAGATATTTTCAATCTTTTTACACAATAGATACGTAGCCAAATTATGCACACATAATATATTTTTTCAGTGCTATATAAATGAATAACGTTTTCCTTTAACCAATATTCTGTCTTTCAACAGTTTTTGAATTTTCGGCATCTAAACTCGGATGCGATCGTTTTCATTAGGAGAATATCATGTAGTTTCAAAAGAAAAATTGTTGCCATTTCGCGGGCTGAAAATATTTGTTTTAATCATCATTTGAAGGCTATGAAATAAAAAAGATACAAGACTGCGTTTTAAATAATTAAATCCTTTATTTTCTCCTTACCTTCTTTCTTTTCTTTTTTTTTCACTATTTTTGTTATTATATTCACTATTTTTGTTATTATAAATAAATGTAAGAGTCTCCCCATCATATCAATTTATACATAAAGTCCTTTTCACTGTTTGGCATTGTTACTTTGAACAGCTGTTGTCAAATATATAAGTTTGTGTGGATGAACTTCTAGTCACTAATTCGTAAGCTCATAACTGTCTAAGCTGTTAATAAGGAATCTGAATATAAAAATAGAATTCCAATGTTTTTAAAGTAGAATAGACAAAATGAGAATGTAATTAATTGCTTTTGTAAAATAGAAACAAATGTACATATTTATATGTATCTTCTGTATCAATGAATATTATTGCACTCGTTTGAGTACCCGACGTTGCTCGGGCTTAAAAAGTGAAGTTATAAAAAGTGAAGAGGCTTCGTTCAGGAGGATATTATTATTATTGACGTATTCCGGCTTAAGGCATTACACGGAAGGAACTTGTTTTTCTTTTTTAAGAGAAATTGGTTCGTATTAACACGTTACACATGGGGAAAACCACGGAAACGCCAATGCAGCTAGCCCGTCCGCGGGATTCGAACCTCGGACCGAACTACCAGTGTTTAGGAGTATAGGGGTCGTTTTTCCGGAATTTCCGATGGAGAGTGATTTTCATTCATTTTGGTTTAAGATGAATTGTGATAAATTTTACAAAGCTGGAATACAAATACAGAACGCTGCAGAACTGATATGGCACCATGTAGCGGTTTAGAACTGATTACTTGCTTTGTTACTGGTCATGTCTTTTATCGAAAAAAAAGCTTTTCAAAATTCACCATCCAATTTGGCCTATTTCTTCACCGTTTTCAAAATATTCGAAAAAACTGATAGAGAGGGCACTTACATTCCGCTTTGAAGTTTTTACACTGCTCTGGAAACTTCAACACTCTTTTAAAGAGAAAGCCAGCATGACACCATCTAACAGTTTTAGTAAGAACTATTATCGGTAAGGCATCAACGGTGATGTCAACCTAAATAGGAGGTGTGTAAATATTAATATTTAATTTTGGTAAAAAAGAATTACTAATTCCTTGTTTAGTGTCTACTGATAGCGGGAACGTAACAACCGTGACGTGAGCCTTGAGCTCAGCGTTGTAATATGTATATATACCCTGATTGTGGACCCCGTGGGATGGCTTTTAGAAATTTTATTTGTACAGTAACTTTCCTCTTTTTGAAGTCCGAATATGTAAAATAAAATTGTAGATTTGCATGAACTACACAGCACACAAAAAAACGAACGTGCACTCTTCTTTGCATACATTGATCATTTTAATGAATCTAGTGAATATGATTTCATGGGTCTAATGTAATGAATATTAATTGAAAGGAATCTGCATTTATTGCTTTTAAATCGCCTACTCTTTCTAATTAAAAACTTAATAAATTTAATTATATAGTTTATGCTTTCCTGAACCACAACACACTATCGCTTGAAACATAAATTTTAATTCTGGAAATGGCAACTTATATATTTTAAATCGCTGAGTTTTTTTTTTTTTTTTTTTTAAATTCAAAAGATAAATAAGTATGTTACGTTTTCCCAAGTGACAACAGTTTGAAACAGTATACATTTCATTTAACAAAATCAAATTACTACATTAAAATATAATCTTTCACTAAAAACCTCTTATGGCATTTGTACTAGTTCACCATATAAAATGTTTAGAATTTAAGTCACCATTCGAAATAAAATCCGAATAAAATTTAGAAAGATCTTTAATTTAACATCAATAATTATTGCACAAATTTCCCACAAATGTTTCCCTGAGGAATGATGAATTGGTATAATTCCCAAAAGTAAATCGTATAATATCGTTACTGCTACAGTTTCATTAGTAACCAAATTAACTATGTCTATTAACCATGATCATCTTATTTGTAACTTTGCAGCCTTCTCATCATCTTCATCAATAATCCTTTTATATGCGTTTTTTAGCTTTAAGTAAATATAATTATTGTATAGTAAAAATACGTGGAGTGCAATCAATAATTTCTTCAATGATGGTAACCTGTCATCATTCAAGTTTAGAATCAAATTTATATGTAAAAATCAGGTAAATAAAGTTAAAATTCTTTACTGTACATTTCACTTAAACTGGGTTATCTTTCCCGGGCATGGGTTTAAATTTTAAATTGTTTTCTTTTAACTTAAACCCCATTTTATGTGTCTGAGTAATAAATTCTTCCAGAATAGACTTTGGATTGCCGCATGGTTCACATATACTGTAAAAGATTCTTTGCCAAAGTAAACTCAAAATTTTTTAAAGAACAATAGGGCTGCTAATGTTTATTTCTTGGTAGCACAGTTAATTTCTTTTAGTGAGATTAAGTGACAACACCCTCTGTCCACCTAAAATATTCCACCCGCTGTCCACCTTGTCCAAGCATGGCTCCTACCTCGAAGTCAGATGTATCTGTGGCGATTTCTAATTTGCCTTAAGCTTTAAGAAATTTCAGAACGGGGCTTGGATTAATGCCGTTAAATGTTTTTCCAAAGCCATGTTTGCCACCGCCGACAAAGGAATTCAAGCTTTTTACTTATGTAAGTTTAATAAGATCTGTGCTATGTCTGCAAAATATCTAATGAAATGTTCTATATCTGTTTTCCTACCTTAGTTTAGTTTTATATGATAAAGTTCTGCTTCAACCTTGGCCCTATTTTTAATCACGTGGAATGCTTTGGAAATTGTACTTTTAGTTACATCAAATTTTAGTTACATCACTACAGGACTATAGAAAGAAGAAATTATAGCAAATGCTCAACTCACAATTCAGGATAAATTACACTAATTTCTACAATACTATTGCAAATTACATGAAACTCTCTGCTGCACAAATTTGCAGGCTTACATAAATAAGGAATATAATTCATCATTATACATAGCAGTGGCTACAATTAGCACTGTCTCTTGTTCCTATTATCATACAGTCATACAATAAAAATTTTATTCTTATGTCCAGAATATTTTGCAACTAAACCGCAATATTTATAAATGTACATGCTGGCTAAATGCACTAATCTGCAAAACATGTGCGAAAGCGATATTTCTTTTTAACTTATTTTATAATTTTGATTTGCTATATAATTTATTATGTGTTATTTAATCTGTTTTATTAATTGTAAACAATGTTGTACTTTTACACTTTTGACTTGCCGCGAAGTCAGAACTGAATGAGAACTTAATTGAATGAGAAATGTATCTCTAATAAAATTCGAGGAAATAAATTTAAATGAAATGCTGCATAAACTGCGTATAATTTAATATTCCGTACAGAGAAGTCATGTGGTGTCCGCATAAGATTTTTTCAAGTGTCTTAACATTGCGTTTTTCTACCAGGACATTTATGATCTATGTACCCTCTTAAATGTTTCCATTACACGATTTATATGATCTTCATCACTCATGGCGTAGGCAAAGTACCATTTCTCAGAGATGTTGCCATTTCGACATGGAACATCTTAAGTTACCTCTAAAATTTAAATTATATATTGTTTAGCTATGTGTGCGTCGTTAAAACAACATAAATACTGCTTATATGTTTGTTTAATGACTATAATTTTCACTAAAAATTATCATTAATTTATTAATAGCACCTTTAATGATGCGAATTTAATGCACATTATGTCATAATTTTTAGAAACCTCTCAACCTAAAGTGAAAGAAATCGGAATTTAATACCATTTATAAGTACCTCAATATAGAATAAGTGGTAAAACCACTAAATAATGGTAGTTCAATCTGGTTTCAAACCCCGATTAACAGGTTGATTACATGAATGCTTTCGCGGTTTTCCCGTGAGTGACGAGGATTTGAGACAGTTTCCCTTATAGAGTCCTTTACAAAGGCATCCCTCCGCCTAAATAGATAACCCCTCGGGTGCTTTTTTCCGTAATCTAAGTAATGCCAAGTATTTGTTAAAATAGCTACTAGGGTTGTCGCTCAGAGTGGAAAATATATTTGTACAATTCTGTAAAATGCATATTCCAAACATTGCAGTTGCGGTGTCAGAGCAATATCATTATAATTTTTAACGCTTGCTTTGATTTAAATAAATAATATATATCAACCAAACTTTGTTAATTTGTTTGCTTGTAGCTGCTATGGAGGGTGTTAGTAGCAGAGAAGAGAAGATTCTGTCTTTTAACGATATGACATCTTGCTTAGAAAGTCTAGACGATAATTCTACGTGTAACAGAGAAAAAGAAACGAAAATAACAGGTGGGTGTAATATTTAAATTCTCTGGTAATTAATATTTGAGAGTTTTAATTCGAAAATGTAGATTCAATTTTGCAAAAGTAGTACAATAATAAGGCGCAATTACGAAGATATATCATTTAACATTCTTTTTACTTCCTTGTACGAAGTAAAAAGTAAGCACTGTAATCGCGAAAAATTTCGGATATCATATTTCAACAAAAATATCGATTTTGACCGCTATCCAATGCAATTTAATGATGTTGCATGCCCACGGGAGGGCAGAATAAAAGACACTTTTCCCCCCAAAAAAATTATAAAACTGATTTAAAACAATTCTGAGAGAATATTTCATGGCGTTGGGCGTCCGTACGTATCTCGTAACTCAAAACGAGTAGCCTAGAACGTTGAATTTTGTATGTAGGCTGCTGTAACATACGATGTGCCCGTTTTTGGTATGTGTATTTGTATTTTGGTTATAGCATGTAGATTGCAAACTTGTATTTGAGCTCGGTTTCTATTCTTATTGTTTGTAATTGTGCATTTTTGCTTTAAAAAGATTGATTATGTTCCTTCCGCTAAGGGTTTTATGGCTTAGTAAATGTGCATGCAACATTTGCGGGTTACAAGAATTAAAAGTTGTTTAAGGAAGCTAAGCCTAATGAATTTTGCGATCGCGGACTGTTTGTTACATTTAAACTTGGCAAAATAGCGGATTTTGTCAATCTAGAGAACTAGCTCGCAACAACAAAGATAACGCCCTCTTTTATTATTGCGAATTAATCCTTTATACTTTGAGATATTGAGTTTTTATGATTTTGCGTGTGAGAAGAGAGCGCTGAATTAATTGAATGAGAAATGATGTTGTTGAAAAACTTTTTTGTTTTTGTTTGTTTGCTAATTTCTTTTTACATCGTTTTAGATTTATATTATTGATAGAAATGTGGCAAGATCAGAAATTCTTCAAATGATATTATTGTGGATGCGCTATCGATTGATTATTCATCCAATAAGTTTAAGTGAAATGCAAGAAAAATGCGTATAATTTAATATTTCGTGCAAGGAAGTGATGTGGTGTGCACATCAGATTTTTTTATTAAAATTTCGAAATTTTGAATGCTAATATTAATGCATGCGTTTATTTTCTAAATCAATGTCCATTTATTCGCATGCATATTTTATGTGTGCTATACATTTTTAGGCATCCATGCATACATAAATAAATACATGAGTACAGATGTACAAAATACTACATAAGTAGAGAATAATATTACAGATGGGATCCTAAGGAGCTTCTCTGATCTTTCGAGTAAGTAGTCCGTCCTATAAAAATTACCATAAAGGAAAAGAATATTTACTTAATACTGAGAATTTTTAAAGAGAGAAAACTTTTAAATTTGAATTCAATAAAATGTAAATCTGAAAATACAATTTTTAAAAATACAATTGTATTTATAATGAAGCTACAACTGAAATTTAATAACTAATGTACATAATTAGAACTCTTGAAATCTAGAGCTCATTTTCTCCATATAACAAAAATATAGTGGACTCTCTGCAAAACTGAAATTCACAATTCTAGACGAATTTGGAATTTGTAGAGATGATCATTTTCGGTTATTTGAATAACTGTTCAAATTCTTTTTATATTTTTCAGAATTTTTTAAGTAGCAGAGGGAGGGAAGTATTCTTAAATGTCGATTAACGCTTTGAAACATAGCTTGACATAGTATGTCTGGAAATTGCTCTACATAAAGTTGAATAGGTACTCTATTATTACAGCTAACTATCGAACGCTATATTCGAGAACTCATTCATACTCTATTCTTTCATGTTAAAGATTTGCCATTTACATAGAAAGCACGTAAAGCTTTGAATACCCGCGTTGTTCAAAATTATGTCTTTAGAGTCTTTAAGATGGTGCAAACTGGGACAGAAAATTACTTAGCTGTGTTAAGCATTGAAAAATTTTTAAGTGATAATATTTTAGGTATTTTACAAACTATCTGATTGACTTATTTAAGTGGACCTTCACTGGAGCCAATAAAATAAGGAAACCTGATAAACAACAAAAATTATACTGAAAACTCTGAGAATCTATACAGTGTAGGAAGAACTATACAGAACCTATACAGTGTAGGATCTAAACCCAAATCAAATTATTAAACGACTCCTTAAAATCAATTAATTCAAACAAAATTCAAATTCCCACTTATTAATTCAATAACCTAAAAAATTAAGAGAAATAAATCTTCGCCGGCTCTTGGCCAAACAGAATGCTAGCTCTCAAAAACAAAAACAAAAAAAAAAAAAAAAAAAATTCTTTAGAGCACTTAAACTACATATTCAAACAGTTCCATAAATTACTATAGAATCAGCAACATTGTTCACTTCTACTAATTCAAAACTTCACAAACACCGGAAAAGAAATATTCCTACGACAACTAATTAGTTCCCTATAAATAATAAATTCAAAGAGTTTAAATACTTCCTGGGCACTTTCAAATAATCAATCAATTTATCAACAATCAACTCAAGTAATAATAATAAGTATAGACTGCGTTGTGTAAACCATTTTTAACTCAAAAAATATTAACAATAACTCCACTGAACTATCTATCTCCATGTTGTTCAATGTTGTTCAAATAACATAGACTCAAGCAAATGGAGTGACTGGGCAGACCAACAATTAAAATAAATCAAATAACACTTATATTTTAAATCACTAAAACTCTCGTACAAGCCTCAAAGAAAACTCAGTTTCTCCACCCACTAAATTTCACAAGCTAAAAATTAAACATAAAATTAAATTTGAACCAATCAGAAAATTTTTCTTTTTTTTGTTTTCATTACTTCACTCCCTTCAAAAAATAGAAAGAGAAACACAAAGACACCCCCCCCCAACTGGACACCTACAACAGCGCTTCATCTCAAACACGTGAGAAACAAAATTCGATACCTGCTAACAACGGAGAACAACAAAAGATAAAGTTACGGCTACCCTAAAATAAGTAAAACTCATTCAGATTTCGCATCCATTATACATTTAAAAATTGAACAGAAAAGGTACAATTAATTAGCAAGTTTGATTTGGTTACTTCTTATAACATGCAAACGTTTTGATTATTTTCTTTTGTTTTTTATACCATAAGATTTATCATTAATATATTTTTGTTACAGAATTACCATCATACTCATTTAAATGTGACCTCCAACTGCCTTCTACTGTGACAGATCAAAATTATATTTATTTCCCTAAAGATACATATGCAATCGATAAATATGACGTAAAGAGTGGAAAATGGATGCTTTTTGCCTATGGAGACTTGGAAGAACAAGACTGGCGTTGGACGATACTGCAGCCACTGGTAAAAGAAGGAATTTTAAGCAGTCTAAAGGCTTCGACTGCAATGGATTCTGAAAAGGGAGTCATTTGCTGCTATACAGTTGATTCAGATGATAAATTAGCAGCGAAGAAAGCGGCCGATGCTATTCGGGAAATAATTCTATATAAATATATCATGTATTATAAAACGAATGAAGATTCTGCAGCTGGTGTTTACATACATGAAGGACACTTCCAAATTTCCAAGTATATGCACACTGTAAATTCACATTTCTACGAAAAGGATGAGTACAACAGATGGGTGAAAGTTGTATCTGATTCTTAGGCATTTCTTTATAAATCTTTTTTTAAAGCAATTTATAAACCTTTTACAAATGAGAAATAAAATACCGAAGATAAATACCGTTCGTTTAATAAAGCAACGTTTATAGAAGGAATAATTTATACATTCTTTTTACATACTCTTTATTAATCGTATGCAAATGTATTGTCTTTGAAAGTTGTAAAAGTTATGTAATTTAAAAAATGTTAAACAACACTTTTAAATTACTGACATATGTGAATGAACTATGTATTTTAACTTATTATTCAATTAAATATATCAAACAACTTTATTAACTCGTTAATTATCTTTGTATACTTTATTTAAATTAACTATATTTTTATTATTATTGCGTTTGTATATTTTTCTTGACCTTGGTGTGGAAAACATTGTACCCATTTTTGTATAGGGGAGAGGAGTAAAAAAAGAAAAGCGAATAAAAAAAAGCAGAGAATATAATGTATTCACGCAATTACCATAATTTTTTGTGATCTTTTGTTACGGGCTATTAAGTAGATTAATCCTTCGTCGATAAAAACTAGAGACAAAAAAAAATTCTCGCAATAAGTTTTCACATCTTTCATATCATCAAAGGACTGAAGATCCAAGAAATTATGTAGCGATCGACAAAGGTGTTACTTCAAAGAAGCAAGGTCTTGGAAATATGTTGAATAGGGTAAAACGTCGCAGCCAAAGTAGAGTAGCTTTTCCCGAGTGATTCAAGCAGCCTGAAGTCTGGAATTATACTAAAAGATTTATACTAAAAGATAAAGTCAACTGACAAGTGGTGGACGCTTACGTATT